AACCTCCATGTGCTCTTCCCTAATGGGTCTTCCCGTGAGGTGTTTGGGAGTCTACCACGCGAAGAACAGGCTTAACATCAGCCTAACCGATCCCTCGGTCGGTTTCCTTGATCTGCTGCATTCTTGCTGTGATCTAGGTTCTTTGCAACCTCGGGCGTGCTAGCCCTTGGTGTGACCCAATCAGCCGTCAACAAGATGCTTTTTAGCTAATTGATGCAGCACCCCAAGGAGATTATGTGGATTGACCTCCCCAAGGTGGCGCTAGAGAAGGATGTTGATGGACCAAGGATCAAGACGTTGGTCCAAGGCTCTGATATCATGTGGAAAATAATTGGAACAGCTTGCCATGCTCTTAGGCTGCTGCCCGTGTTTATTATACTAGCAAATATGCCCGTGCGTTGCAACGGGAGAAAAACCAGTCTTAAAAACATAATGGGCAACGATTATTATGATTTAATCCGTTGTCTTTTCTATACCTGCATGGAACAAAATAAAAGACATCTTATCTCACGACATGGTTACTATTAGTAAATGAATTATAAGGGTTAACTTACCGTAAATTTCTAGAGTGTTTCACGTGTCCATGAGCACTCGAGCACACGTGGGAAACCACTTCTTGTCACTATTTTCTCCGATCTTGCTGCTTGGGAGAGGCGAGCATGCTCACGAAGGAGAGCTCGGTGCGAGCTCTTCCAAGCCCCTTGAAAAAATGCTAACCTGTGAGCTTCCAGAGTAGTTCCTGCTGGAGCACCTTGGCGTGGCGTTAGTCTGCAAGCTCAGCGAAGCGGGTCATGGTGGAGCCCGTTTCAACTTGAGCGGGTCCCGGCATTGTGGGTTAAAGGGATCTCCGGCCGCCCAAAGTTCAACAATGGTGGGTCCTAGCGTCAAGGTGTTGACTACGGCGCGATAGGCTTGAGGCGATGACGGCCTTGTTGCTATGTGTCAGGTCGTTTCAAGCGTCCACCTACTATGGCCACCATGAGGTCCGCGACGCATAGCGCGGTGGACGAGCGTTGCGACAGGCCGGCGCCTTGGCCATAGTGGCTCAACCATGTGGGCGATGTGGTCGGCTAACAGCTCGGGAGAATGTTGCGACGGACCCAGCCCTGGCGACCGCGATGCCAGGGCATAGCACCAAGGCGACGATAGGCTTATGTCGTCCGATTTTATTTGTAGTCGTCTCGATTTATTCCAGATTTTCTCCTTGTTTACCTCGCTCTTGATAGGTCCATGTTAGACTCAATTTGAAAAAGATTTGCAAGACATGATCTGTGTTGCTTTTTTATTGGAATGCTAAATCCATGTTTGTTTACCAATGATTTTATGTATTTATTCCTTCTTCTACCCTACGTTTGGATTGGAACCCCTACATCGTTTCCTTCTACACTACGTTTTCTCGATTTATTCCATTCGATTTCCTGTTGGAAAAATAGGGGAGAAAAATTGAAAAAAAAGAACTCACGTGTAGAACTGAGCAGCGGAGGAAACAGAAAAGAAGGAAAAGAAATAGGAGGACACGTGGATGGGAACGTCGGATACAACAGTGGTTAATGGAGAAAAAACGGACACGGTTTTCGGAGGCTGATGACCGAGACCGAGTCATTTTAGTATTAAGTTGGACAAAAAATATTTGTGGTAGAAATTTTGCCTCTTTAGTATTACTAGCAGCCATGGACGCGACGACGCATACGTGTTTAAAGTTGTGGTAGACTACATCTTAAATATATATTAGAGAAAAAATTAAGATTTTAGATACTTGAAGTTGTGGTTTTAAAATTATTTTTTATACTTACTAGACCATATATAACCTTAAGGCGAGAGTAATATAAACATAACTATCATATATTTGTTAATTTACACAAAGTATTGTTGAACCCACAATTTTTTTAGGGGATTGTTGAGCCCACAATTATTGGGCAAAACCAGATAACACAAGGTACGCGTGACCTATAGTATGCTCAAAAGAATAAATACTGCTCAGATATGTGGCTATCGAGAATAAGAAAGAATATGTAAGTATTATTAGGCAAAGAGAATTTATAATTATATCATGAATTTTTTATATTGGTGCATTCGAATTTGTCAATGCCATTTTGGAAACCCGGCCACAGTCTGTAACTTTGCACGTAGTTACATTGACGCTCTTGATTCTAGCCCGTCTTTTGTCTTTGTTATCATGAGACATATTCCAATACTTCTTTTTACACGGCCACCATGATCTCTTGAAGTAAACAAGCAAAGGCATGGTGATCACAATGTGATAAAGTTACACTCTTGTTACAAGATTATATAGGTTAAAACATCTTCTGCAGAGGAAGCACGTTCATTTATCAGACAATGTCAAGAAAATTCACTTGTCTGGTGGAACCAACAAAGGGATAAACAACTATATCACTGTAAATACCAGAGGTGCAGAATCTAAAAACAAATAGTCAAAAGGAGGCACTTTGGCCAACAAAAAACTGATTTGAATCAATAGAATTGTTAATACCACCAAGGAGATTTCAGGAAAGAAAATACTACAGCAACATTTTAATCTGTTAGCCGAATATCTAATTATACAATTGAGCAAATGTTAGATATACCCAATGGCAGCAACCTAATATATATGGAATTTTTTTTGAGATTATGGATTTATATGGTACTAATGTTACAGCCTGTGAAGAATGCAGCTTTAGCTCTAGGCACACATTCTTTTCCATATACCTGATGCTTCATTTTTAAGACGTTCACATGATATTTTTAAAGGGGAACTAAATGATTACTAAATACATAAGCCATGTAAATTAAGTCAACCAAATCATGCTGCAGAGAGGTTCTAGCTAAACATGACAGAGACTGCAGCATCGGCAAAACTTCAGTCATGCCTAACCAATTGGCAAAAAAATTCTGTTCAAGCACTTTCAGATCATTATGTCATTATGGCCATGATTTCATTGCATTCTGGTCATATATACTCCAATGCAAGAATAGCAAGGGATTTGACAATAAGATGTTTATCTACAGTAGACCAGTAGTGATGGTCATCTACCTTTTCAGCCTGTCTCTGCAAAGAGACAGCACTCTGCTCGCTAAGCGAACTGAAATTTAGAAAAGGAAAATGTATAATCAAATACTAAAACTGAACTCAGATATGTCATATATAGATATAAACTGAAGCAAGAGTCTAACTTGTAGCTAGAGAGCCTACCATTATCTTTTCGTAGCTTACTGTAATTTACATGCTACCTTGTGGATGAGGACATGATTACTTTAGAAGAATCAACAAAAATAATACTTACAGAAGCAATCACTTATTTTAATTAGTAGGGCTAGTACCCATAGAGGCAGAATATGTAAGGCACATTTATCAATATAAGTAAATAAATGGCAGTAAAAAAATAGATCACTAAAGCTGAGATATGTATGAACTTCCAAAATCTGGTATTATTTTCGAACGGTAGGTACAAAGCGTCTTTGGAGGCGGAAGAGACATTACGAAAGAGGCATTCACACATATTCAGATCATGTACAGTAAAACCATCTACAAAAAAATAGATTAGAATTTCCCAAGCATCCATATCCGAAATCATGAGACCAATTCATTTGTGCAAACAGAAATTAACCGACGAAGACCTATCTCACCAACAAATTTGAATTTTGTTTGCTCATCGTCTTCATAGATGTGGCTAGAACCTCATGGCCTCCTGCCTGTCACCAGGCATCGGATGAACGAACATCTCTGACACCATCGCAGCAACCTCGGTGCACAGCCGCTTGAGATTAGCACAGATACGATACAATAGAGAGATCGTGGCCAAAGGCAAGAGGAAGTGGACGAACCAGGAGTCGCCCCCGCTTTATCCGGAGGTGAAGGACGCGCCCAAGGACACCGGCAGCATGATCGACGGGCGCAGATCCTCCCCGCCTGGGAGACGAAGTTCTTGGTACAACCGGCGCCTCTTCTTCAACCCGCGGCGGCGTTCCCAGCCCTATACGCCCGGCTCCGTGCACCCGGCGTCCGCGTCGAGGGCTTTCCTGGCACTGCGTTCCAAGCTTCCTCCACACTCCGGCGGCGGCGTTCCGGTCCCGCACGCGCCTAAGCGTCCGTGGCAAGGAGTATGCCGTCTCATGCGCGTCGCGTCGAGGGGGCTTTCTGGTGCGCGATCGAAGGGGTAAGCGTGTCAGAAAGGGCGGTTATTCCTTGTACGCGCGTAGGGGCGCAGGCCGGCAGGAGGCAACGATCGGACGGGAGAAGAAAACCGGTGTGGGTACATGCGGGCGGGTAAGAAAGCGCAGACGGTGAAAAAAAAACTGTCGAGCAGGAGTCCTCTACAATGCAAAACACGCATGTTTCATATGTTGCTGTTGTCCTTCTATTGTGGATCCACCTGTCAATCTGAGGTGGGTAGGAAGTTTTTCTGGTGACAATAGATTTTCAATTCCTTCGCTCCTTTATAGTATAGATTAGGTATAGATATATAGTCCAGTTGATACATGTCCTAGTAGGACTTCATACATGATTGAGTAGGACTCTACATCTACTTGGAGTAAGATACTATTTCTAAACCTATTGTATCTTTAGAACTTTGTCTCTATTCAGAACCATATCTATATATACTTCTATAACAAGGATCATATCTGAAATTAATAAGAACATAATTTCCTTATAGAAGAAGTAAAGCGATCCATCTTTTCTTGTAACAACCGTACACAACATATCTGAAATTAATAAGAACATAATTTCCTTATAGAAGAAGTAAAGTGATCCATCTTTTCTTGTAACAACCGCACACACCACAAGGTTCACGCTAATCATATCAGACTAGAGTAGCCCATGTGCCTCCTGACCATACGTGACGTATGGATGCAAAACACCAAACCTAATGATCGATACAGAACTAGATCCATGATTCCATGCAAACACAAGTTGTACAATCTTTATTTTTCAATGATGGAAAGTAATCTCTAGATCGAACACAGTGCCATCGATCTAAGATGATGGTGAGAACGCTTCTTAATTAACCTCGACCGAGGAGTGAGGAGTTCCCAAAGGTGAGCCCAGAACCTCGGGTGGCCTCCTCAACAATCTTGTCCAGCCTCGCTGCCATGTCCATGGTCATGTAGTTTTTCCAGTCGCCGACCAGCCCCTTCCTGAAGAATGACTCACTCTTGATGCCCAGCCGCGTACTCCCGTTCTTGTTGACGTCCTTGCTCTTGAGATTCTCCAAGCTGCACAGCTCCACGATCTGATCCACCACCCCATCCTCCTCGTCCTCCTCAGAGAAGGTGCACCCCATGAACGCTGCTAGCTTCTTGAGGTTACCCACCGGATCTCCCAGCATGTCTTCGTACCTGAGGAACAGCACCTGGTCCGGCCTCCTCTGGCTCGCGTGCCAGTATTCTAGGGCATGCAGCCAGTGTGGCCCTCCGGGGAACCGTCCCTCACAGAAGAGCTCAAAAACCTCCTCGAATTTGGTCACGCCTGCAGAGTCCTGGCCGTCGCCGTCGCCACCGGCAGTGGCGGCTGCCGTCGCTGCCACCTTCTTGTAGAAGTTCCAGTAGGAGATGAGCACGTCCTTGGGATCCCGGCATACGTACACGATCCGGCACCGGGAACCCTCCTCCGTGATGGCATGGGGAAGCTGGGAGTAGGGAAGGTGTGTTGCAAACAGCCGTGGAGAAGAAGGGAGGGCCTCATACAAACCCCTTGCACCGGCGGCGTCGTGCTGCTGCTGCTGCTGCTGCTGGATGATCCTGAACTCCAGGAAGCCGACACAGTCGTGCGGGTTCCGGTGGTTGAGCGGGTGTTGGCCGTCGGACGGCGAGTGTGTGGCACGGTTGAGCGTCGCGAAGGCAAGGGCCTTGAGCCAGGTGGTGCCGGACTTGGGTAAGCTGGCGAGGAAGATGTCCGATGCTTCTGGCTCGAAGCATGTGCCAGCGGCAGCCATGCCCTTGAGTAGGAACTCAGCTTGCCAGAAGCCTCCATACTGCCGACGGCGCACCAAGAGCCGCGTCTCCAGGGGGAGCGAGTCAATTATCTCAGCTGCAGGTACGTTGGCGTACAGGCTCGGGTTCCTATGCTTCCTCGTCGAGGGAGCTGCTGTTGCTTCCGATGATGCAGGTGCAGTAGCCACTTCTTCACCGGCGGCTGCGGGGACGGCTGCAGGGGGAGCAGCAGTGCTCATGGTGCCCTGTGTTTCGCATAAGCGTTTACATGCATCAGAACATCCTTCAGTGTCGACAGAAGGCTAAGCTAAGGGATTGCATGCCAAAACTTACCAGAATGTCCTCCAGATCGAGTTGTTGTTGCTCCTCGCCCCTGTTCATGATGCACAACGCCGGGCCGGCCCCAACCACTACCACAAACACTTTGAGTATGCCGCCAACCTGCAGTACCAATAATTAAGTGCCCATTAGGAGTTGTTTTGTGGGACAACGGTTGGGGCTTTGGCATCCTGACATTATTGGTGAAGCTTGTTCTATCTCTATATACAAGGGTGCAGTAGAGGTCAAATCTGCTCTGCCTTCCTCAGAAAATATTCCTTTTTCAAGGAACAATTATTGCATATATTTTATACGACGTTCTAGAAGTTGTTACAGAGACTAACGTGGACTCAAAAAGACTCTGGCATCCTACAGGAATCTTGCACCTGCATGCAGCTTGGGAGCAGCGCTCCGGCTGGGAGGCCTCCCACACCATCTGATTCTTTTCATTTTTTGTTGGTATAGTGGATGACAGGAGGTGATGGATGGACCAGTGCTGTACTCTGGTACAGGAGCTAGAAGCTAAAACGTCTTCCTTTCTGATATTTTTTTGAATGCTACGACGACCTCTATTCTGGGATGGAGGAAGCACATAAGTATAATCTGTAATTTTCGGTTTCGAGAATAAGAAGCCCGTTAGACAAAATCACAAATCCGATAAAATATAATCTGTGTTGGCACAAAAACAATTAACAATTTACGTTTGTTTATATAGTTTGGCAATGATAAAATTTTAATATGTTATGATACAAAGACAAATAACAATCAACCTATACTAGTTGGTTGTACCAAATTGTTGCCTAAAATCATCTTTAAATTGAGGCATCTGAAATATAGAAGTGATAATAAAATTGTTCCGTTAGTTGATGACAAAATTTGGAATTTGAGTGGAAGAAAACACCCACAGTCCCAATAAATATGTAAACAGAGGTCATAGAAGCAGAACAAACACATAATTGTACAAGTAGAACTGGGAATAGCAAACTCCAGAAAATACAAGCATGGAGACAAAACAAAATCTTAAGTAGCGGGCATACAATGTAATCACCAATGAGTATCATGAATGCATGGCAGCTGCTATAGGAGTTCTGGCCCTTGTGTTCATTAGCACAACAAGAATGTAGAACACTGAGCAATTATTGATGTGGGCGTGTTTACCTCTTATTGACCTAACAATAAAATCATGAGGCCAATCCCCAAATGTTTGTGTGATCATGTAACATCCTCTAGATATATAGTATATATACAGGGAGAGTATATTCAGTAGCCAGCTACAAAATAAGTTATTCTATAACCACCTCCATTTACGATAATTTTATATACTAATTTACGATAATATCAATACATATTTACGATAGTTGGGTTACTATAACACATGGAGATATTTACCATAACGTTACAGTAAACCACTTAGTAAGGAGTTATTATAATCTCGTAAATTAACATAGTAATTATCATAACTTAAAGTGGCTATAGAATAAATTTTTGTAAGCAAGCTACAAGCTACATATATAGTATATATATATATATATATATATATATATATATATATATATATATATATATATATATATATATATATATATATATATAGAGAGAGAGAGAGAGAGAGAGAGAGAGAGAGACACACACACACACACACACACACCGTGGTCATGCCTTCTGGTTGTGCTTATTTTTTAAGCATAACGTTGACCTAGCTTGCTTCTCTTAACAACACAAAAATGTCTGTGTCAAAGTCCGCGAGTTGTCTTTGGTTCACAGTTATATTGTTTAACCCTTTTTATATGCTTATGGCTTTGTCAACCATTTGACCTGATCACTATTGCCGCTGGATCCAACTAGGACTAGTCTTGATCAGTGATGTGTTGATGCATTAAATTAATTAGGGAGTATGGATGACCAATAGACCGCAACATTAAGAATATGGAATTACATATATCTCACTATCCTGTGCTTATTGTGTGTGAAAGTTATGAATTTATTATTATTAACTATGTACTAAGAGCAGGTATAATGATGCACAAAGGAGTAGGATAGTGATGCACGGGCTATAGTAATATAATGCACAACTGATGGGGGAATGAATATCTTACATTTGCTAATTTGGAGATTCTTCCTAGCCCAAATTTGTCCTATGTTCATTACTACGGCCATTTGTAGAGGTAGATATAGATACTCCGTAAGCCGCCTCTAAGCTTATGTTGTTACAAATAAACGATCTGCAGAGGCGGCTACCCAGCCATCCCTAGAAGTCGATAGAGACGGTTGTTAATCATAGCCGCCTCTATGAATCGTTTCTAGAAATCCCCCAAAAATGATAAAACAGGAAAAAAAAAAGCATTTTTTTATTTATTCCGTGGAGGAACCAACAGGAAGCTAGCCACACGCCTAGAGCAATTATTGATGTGTGCGCATGTACCTCTTACTGATCCCACAATAAAATTGAGAGGCCAATCCCCAAGCGTTTGTGTGACTGTGTGAGGCATTTACCGTAACATCCTCTACGCTGGTATATATACACGCACGGTGGTTCTGCCTTTTTTTTGTGACAATGAAATCCTTGATTAATCAGGAGGCATCATGATTACAATCTTCAATCAGCAGAATAGTAATACATGTTGGGGCTCAATGCCACTCACCCATTCTGTTGCAATCCGAGACATGCTTAGCTAGAGTATGGGCTACATGATTACATGATCTATGAATATATATCAGAGAAAAATCATGAAAAGAAGCACTAAGCTCTCAAATTTCCCTGATGATCAGAGAAATACGTGATCGCTGCAGCTCTCCCATCTCCCAAAGTTTCACCAACTCTTGTCTGTCCGTTTCGAATTGCACTTTGCGAATGCCTAGGTCACCAGCCAGAATAATGCCCTCTTTACATGCTGTGACTTCCATCGTCAAAGCATCCAGGCTGAAGGGGTGCCACTTCGCTCTTCCACCCCTGACCAAGGATCGGATAGAAAGCCCCATCAAAGTTGTATTTGAACCATCCCTCAGGCGGTGCTCTCCACTTCGGCTTACTGATGCCCACAGCCGGCTGGCTTGGAGGCTTAGCTAGCTGCCATAGGTCGTGCGCCAAATCGAGGGTCCACTAGACAACCCTCTTCAACGACAGCTGGTCAGCACCGTGGCAGTGTTTGTTTCGCTGCACTTGTGCCTTCTAGCTGTGCTTATTCTTTCAGCATAACGTTGACCTAGCTTTCCTCTCTTATAACAACAAAAAGATATCGCTGTCAAAGTCTGCGAGTTGTCATTGGTTATTTGAATCTAATTCACAGTTATATTGATTAACCCTTTTTATACGTTTACCACTTTGTCAATCATTTGAACTGATTACTATTGCCGGCCGGTGGATCCAAGTCGATACATCAATTAGGGAGTATGGATGACCAATAGACCGCAACATTAAGAATAAGGAACTATACATATCACTATCCCCTGCTTGTGAGTGAAAGTTATGATTTTATTATTATTAATAATGTGTCAAGAGCAGGTAGAATGATGCACAAAGGAGCATGAATGCACGATGGTGATGCACAGCATAATAATGTGCGGATAAGAGTAGGTACAGTAATGCACAATTATTGGTGTAGGACTTGGCAATCGGTTTAAACCGAAACGTTGGTTTGGTATCCGGTTTCCAAAACTCCGATTTCCATGAATTGAGAACATTCAGTCATCCCTCATGCTATCTGCACCCAGATTAAACAACACAAAACCGACGAGTTCGGTGTCGGGTTCTTACTTTGGTTTTCGGTTTAAGACTGGAAAAACCGAAGCATGCCTCGCTCGTCATCCCTCATGCTATCTGCACCCAGATGCGCCTTGTCGCCGCCTCCTGGCCGTGGACGTGCAGCCACTTGGCACTCGCTCCACTCAGCATAGCTCGCACACGCTCACTGCCTGCTGCTCACCCCCTCAGTGACTGGCGACGCTCAGTCGCCCAGCGCCCACCGCGCCGTCCCCCGTCCCCACCCCTGCCCAGCAGCTACTGCGCCATCCCGCGCAGGCTGCGGCCTTGCTCGCTCGCCAGCTAGTAGTTACGCCGCCCTAGCAGCCTCGCCCGCTCGAAAGCCGAGTCTCGCCCCCGCGCACCGCGCACTCACGGCAACCGCGCACCACCATAGGGTGCAGGGAGATAGGGATAAGGTTTGGAAAGGAGTAGTTGTTGTCTTGCTGACATGCTGTGATGGTCGGGTAGGGTCGTGGGGGGTTGGATGGAGTGGTTGCCTAGGTGGGCTCAACATTTTTTTGGGCTTTGCTAGGATGGCAGAAGGCTGCTTTATGTATATCCCTATGTTTCTCGATTCCTCGCTGACACTGGACACTAAACTTCTGGGATTCAAAAACCGAAGCCGACACCAAAAAACCAAATTTTTTGTTCGGTTCGGTTCGGTTCGGTCTTTCAGTTTGGGCTTAAAAGTTCCTAGCCTGATATTGGTGGGATGAATATCTTACTTTTGCTTGTTAGGAGATTATCCCTAGCTCAAAATTATCTTTGTTCCCTGCTACAACCAATTTGTGGAGGGAGATACAGATACTCTATAGAGACGGCTGGGCCAGTCATTTTTAACTTACGTTGTTACAAATAAGCGATTCATAGAGATGACTGCCCAGCCACCTCCAGAAGTCGATTTTTAGAGACTATGGCCCCGTTCGGCTTGCTGAAACTTGGCTGAAACTAGCTAAAAAACACTGTTCTGGCTGAATTATTGTGAGAGAAAAACGTTGTTCTGGCTGGAAAAAAAAGCCGAACAAGCTGGCTTCTGGGTAAGCCAAACGGGACCTATGTTATCAATCACAACCACCTCTACAGATGGTTTCTCAGAAACCATCTAAAAAGGTCATGTACTGGTGGTGCTGAGCCAAAAGCGGTGACGAACATCACACCGCTGTCTTTGCATCGCTGCGCTGCGCTGCGCCACTGGCCCGCCTAGACGCTGCACGCACGAGGGCGAACCGCCGTCGCCATTCCATTCATGGCATTGCAGCGCGCGGGCCACGCCAACCTCGAGCACGTGTCGTCGGCTAGTGCCGGCCGTGGTCACTCCGGTCGCGTCAACCGCGTCCTGCCAAGCGAGCACAGGCCAAGCCTTGACTGCGTCGCCACCGTCTCCCGCCCCTCTCCTGTCCTCTTCTTTGCTGCCGGCGCCGAGCCACGCCAGCCCGCCTGCATGCGAGAAGCCATCCACCATCAATTCCATGTGCCTGCGCCTGCTCTCTCACATCCTCTCGCTGCTCGCCCCCACCCAGACTTGAACCGTGCGAGGCCTAGCTCTAATTTGGAGCTTCGCTCTGCCACCGCGCCGTTAAGACCCATCACCGCCCTCACCGTGGTCAGCCCCCTCCTCAACGTCTCGTGCCAAATTAGCTGCACCACTAGCCTCGCCTAGAACCCCTACTCGTCGTGCGCACCTAAGCCACACCTCTACCATTGCCTCCTCGCCGATGACACGGCGTGTCGCTACGGTTCGCCATCGAGCTCGCCGCGTGCACGCAGTCAGGCTTGCTCGGGGCATCTCCGGCCTAACCATCACCTCCGCTAGGTCTATGGTGAGTCCCTGTTGTTCACCCGCTATCCCTACTGCCTTGTTAATACTATGGCTCATCGGAATGCCGTCGCCATTACCGCAGGGTGCCCGTCGTCGTGGAGAGGGCCTTCTACTGCGTCTTGGTTTGTGCAGCCACCACCCATCGCTTCGCGTCAAACCCTAGGTGAGCGTCGGCCTCGTAGATAGGTTAGCGTGGGTCCCGTGTGGCTGGCGCAAGCGCCAGTGCCACCGCTCGCCATGCCGGCGTGCGCGGGGATGCTCGAGGACCATATCGTTGTAAAGGAGGGAGATTGCGAGGGTGTTCTTGCAAAGTTGTTGTCTCTAGGAATAGTAACATGGACTGCGGGTTGTTTTGTTCAGAATTTAGGGGCGCTTTTGCTAATATGTCAATGTGCATGCGGGCTCCTCGCCGCGGGCCGCATCCACGCGTGGGCCGCACCTCATGTGGGCTGCGTTGGGCGGATTCAGTTATCTTTTTCGTGGAAAAAAGAAATAGCTTTTTATTTTTATTTCTGAGCTGAACTTTGATAATTAATATAAAATGATATAGATGTCCAAAAATTGTGAAACAAATTTTGTTAGGTTCCTAAAATTGTGAACTATCTGCTAGTATATTTGGTTCACATAATTTTATAATATTTTCAGGAGTTATCTAATTAATTAAAGATGCTTAATATTGTAAGATATAAACTTGTAGGAATTTTTATGATGAATTGGTGATAGTGTTGGCTCTAAAACTTTTACAGTAAATCCCTAACACTATTAGGTGCTCACTATAATTTTTGTAGCTCTATAATAATTAGTTTCCTAAGGTAGCTAAATGAGCCCTAGTTTGAAAATATATATTTAATCAATAAAATGCCAAAGCACATTGGGATTTGAAAACTAGAACATTTTTCCGGAGACAAAGCCTTACTTGATGATGTGGATACATAGACTAGTATGTTACTCATTAAATCTGGCTTGTTAGCTTGCGGAACATAATCGTATATTTAAGAGTTACGGTTACCGTTGATTAATTGCGCCTCTACGTTGTATCCACGTATACCATAATAGGAACAACGATGGATCATGGAGTCGACTAAAATCGCGGGAA